AAATGACTCAAAAGGAGATTGTCTTTCAACTTTCTTCAAAAACTTTTTAACTTTCTGAGAGTTATATCATAATCCCAGCTCCCCCATTGCCCTTTACCTGAATGAAAACATAAATAAGAAATTATTTTGGGTTAAAAAAAAAAAAAGAAAAAGATAAAAACAAACAAAAAAACGTTGGAGTTTGGAATAGAAAAACCAGTTAAAATTAATTTGTGCGTTAGAATATTTCTTATAATTGTTTTATGCTTTAATTACTTGCCTTTAGGAATTTGAAATATTTTGCTTTATTTGGAAAACTGTGTAAAAACTTCATAGGATTGTGGATATACTTGGATGTTATCCAATTGAAAGATGGTATTTGATTTTTTTAGTGTAGAATGACAAACCAAATATATATTCTCTGCTTTGCAGAAGCATCATGATAAAAAGTCTTCTATTTTAGGCCAAATATTTGAAAGACCTGTCATCATTTGTATGTGTTATGTAAATTAGGCTTAAGCAAAAGATTATTGGGAGCATGTGCCAGCAATAGAATAAGAACTTAAACATTCAAATGAGGGGTGGCTTAGCACATCTGCTTTACATGCAGTAGGTCCTGCATTCGCACCCCAGGTGGGGCCACAGACCATGCCTAGTTGCGCCAGGCCCTGAGAGTACGCCCCGAGCGTGTGGGAAGAGACACCCTGCCTTCAGAGAGCCAGTTCTTAAAAAAGGAGATGGCAACATCCGTAGGTCAGGGGTGGAAGTTGGGGAGGAGAGGGAATTAAACAGGGGGAAAAAAATTCCTTAAAAAAAAAAAATGCAAACAAATTTCTGTCAACATTAGAAATAGTTTTGATAATTTAATAATAAACAGAATGTGTACACATCCGATCTCTATCACTACCTGAACAGCTGTCCGTCAATCTTTAGTATACTCATCAGGCTTCTGATAACTCCTTTCAGTTTTCCGTATGTATGATAGTTATAAAAGGCTGGTGCCATCACGTACAATTACCTTCTATAACTAAAAGTAAGATTCATATAGAGTTATAGTTAGAACACTCCAAATTAAAAAAAGAACCAAGATCAAATTTTATCCTTATCCTTCATAATATTATTCTTCATTATACTATAAAACTATTTTCTTGCTCTTTTTGTGATGTTTATTAAACCTTTTAAATTCTGATATGATTAATTCAGAATTTTTTGAGAATTTAACAGGTCAAAAGATAATATAAAGCTGTTACATAACTACTGTTAATACTATTATTTAATTAAAAAATAGAAAGCCCAATTTTTTCTCAGCATTTTATTATAAAAATATTAAAATATAGAGAATATTTGAAGGAATTATACAATGAATACCCATATAACAACCATCATTAGTTGATCCATTAATTTATTTTTTTGATTCACTTAAGAGTAAGTTGAAGATAATCAGTACATATCTTCCCTAAATATTTCAGCATGTATGTATCAATAACTATCAATAGAGTTCAATATTTACTTATAGCTTCTTAAGGAAATTATTGCATGGAATGAAATATATGGGCACTTTGTGTTGGTTCACTTAAATGCACAACATTTGCTAAAAGTTTAGGAATATCTTTTTTTTATCTATAATGATACATAATTAAATACCAGAATATTTTTGGATTGTCTTTAAAAAAATGAGAAGCATTGATTATTATTTTATTGCCTAAGAATACCAATTCGTATAGTAAATTATGAATACAAGTCTATAAACTTTATTATAAAAATGGAAACTATATTAGTCTTTTCTAATTGCCTTTGGGCTTTTGCTATAAAGGTTACCAGTTACTTGCATTATTTAAGATGGATTATAATTTACCTAGATTTTCTCACCCAGTTGCTTCAAAGTTTATTTGGGTACTTGGTTTTATAGTTTATGTAAATTGAGAAAGATCATTCAAGATGGCGTTTGCTCCCGTTCATTTTCTGGGCAAATAAGGATGCCATCCCTCTTCTTATCACCTGCAGGAGGGGTGAGAGAAGTCAAGTTAGCAGTTGGTTTGACTTCAGGAGTTATTAAAATGGGAATTTATTCTTGATTTTTTTTTTTTTTTTTGGTACTCGGAGATAAAAAGGCAAAAAGGAAACAAAAGTTTTGAACAGTAGATTGTCAAAAGATAGAGAAGGTAATGAAGACGAAAGAACTACTGAAGAGAATGTCCCAAGACAACAATGAACTCTAGTGTTGTTGAATAGCTGAGGCTTTAAGCTGTTCAACTTTTTAGTAATGCTTCTTTTAAAATTGCTTTCAGATCTCATCTGCATAAGCTTTTAACAAAACATTTTTAATGGGAGAAACACCAGTTCAGTGAAACTTTCTGTGAAAAAGTGGGAAATTCTGCATACTGTATTGGGTCTTGAGAATCACAAGGGGTACATATATACACATTGTCACCTCTGAAAAGTTTTAATAAAGGAACCTGATTAACTTTATTAAGATGTTTTTACTTGAAATTGCTTGAACATGAAACCCTTTTTAATGTATTTTGATTCTTATTTGCTGAAACTTATTCTGTGGAATCAGATTTAAGGATTGTGGATCTATTAAGGTTGATAGGACTTTACTTTCAAGCAATTCATTATCCATATTTGTGTTTTTTTATACTCATTTGTTTGTTATTACGAACTGGGAAGAGAGGAGAGCCACTTTTTCTTGTTTGTAATTTCATTGTGTTGGAATTACAAGATACCTTATCTCTGTAGTGTTCTATGTAAGTTGTAGTACTTTATGAATTTTTACTTTCATGAAGTATAATATTGTTGATATCCTTTATCAGTGCTTCTCAAGCTTTTTATACTCATAAAGATTATGCAAACCCCAAACTTTGAGCAATGCAGTGCAATAACGATGATTCATTGTACTCTTGGCATCATTCTTCTAGGCGATTCCCTCCTTTTCCCATTTTAAAAATTAATTTCATCTCTTTTTTTAGCATAGATAGGAATAATGATGAAATAATTACTAGGACAATGAAATGCATAGTATTTTATAACATAGGAAAACAGATGACTAAAATCCCACAATGTGTCTTAGAGTTATAAAAGGGTACAATAGACCCATATTACAATGGCAAGCAAGAATGTGTTTTCTTTTAAAAAAGTAAAATTCATCTTTGGAAGACTGCTAAGAAAGAAAAAAATGTCGCGAAATAATTCCTTACAAATAGAACTACTGAAAATCAGGAAACAAAAACTAAAATTGGGTCCAATAGATCCTGCTAGTATATCAAGATTATGAACATGTAATATCTTTTTACTGTTTTTAAAGATGCTTATTAAGGTTTAATTTTTGTTTTTAAGTTTTTATATGTTCTCTAAATTGTTTTCCCATCATCAAGAATCAGCTTTCTCTTTTTCCTTCTTCCCTCCTTACCTTCCTTCCTTTTCTCTCTCCTATCCCTTTTCCCTTTCCCTCACTCTTGCTCTCTTCTAATCACCTCTTTGTTACCTTCCCACACCCAGTGTCCATCCTTCTGCCCTTCAGCCCTTCCCTTCCCTCCCTCCCCTCTCCTCCGCCTCTCTCCTTCCCTTCCTTCCATTTTTGTTCTCTGTCTGGCAGTTCTTGTCTTTACATTTAAAAATGTAGGTGTGGTTTATTTTTGGTTGTAGACATTTGTCTTTTTTGCTTTATCTATAAGTTTATTTTTTCCAACTTGATTTCTTTCTTGAATGGGAATTCTGATAGAGAATTAGTACTTGCATAGGCCCTGTTCATTGAAAGTATCAGTCTAGGGTAGGTGGGAAGAGAGCTATCAGGCTTTAGGCCCCGTAATGTGCTAATGAGGGAGGGATTTATTCTGTTGCTAACATTAAGAGATTTATTCTGTTGCTAAAATTAAGAGATTTACCATTTTCAGTTAATCAGTAAAACTTTATTGGAAAACAGCCTATGCTTCAGGAGGTGATGGAGTTAAAGACTAAGATACATGAAATTATTTTCACAGGGAGTATAGGTCAGGATGGATGGACATTGAAACACTTGTTCTATGTGTAAACTTTTAAACCTTGATTTTGGCTCTAATTTTAACTCCTGCCCTTAATCCCTGTGGCTCCCATCTTTGATGTAGCCATTTAATAGTATCTTCTGGTTTGCAGTCTCCACTGTTCATTTTTATCCCTCAACCATTTACTTTCTTCCCATCTTCCTGAAATATGTTGGTATCTTCTCCCCTTCTCCTTTACTCTTTCATCTTCTTTCTCTCCTCTCCTTTCAGTATTCTGGATTTATTCGTTTCTATATCTATATCGTAATCACTGTGGTACTGGGAAGGACAGGAAGTCAACACATTTTTTCAGCATGGAATTTTCTGAAACATGTATATTAAAAGGCAACATCTATTACAGTTTTTACTACCACCAGTATCTGAAGTTTTTGTTTTCATGACAACTCGACTATCATTAAATTTGTTTCCTGATTAAGTGCTATAAAATACTTCTTTTATTCTAGTGTGTAATCTTTTATAGGTAACTAGCAAATCATCATTTCCCCTTTCGTATTGGTTATTCTATAGTTTTCTATGAATTGTTCATTCGAATCACATGAATTACTATGAAATCCTAGGTTTCATAACCCATTTTCATAGGATCTTTATGCAATTATTGACTCATCATCACATTTGTTGCAAATATCTTTAAATCCTTATTTTTCACTCTAAATTTATTTTACCAACTGTATTTTTAATATGTTTGATTTATGATTTTTAAACTTTGAAGTAATAAAAAATTATTACCACTCTAGATAATTTATATTAAGTAGGATTTTAATTTTTGTTTTACTAAAATTAGTTTTATGGAACATTTTGACAAAATAATTTGGTAGCACATCTTGAGAACCAAGAAAATGTCTCTATGTTTCGATCCTATTTTTAGAAGACTTAATTAAAGGGAAGAATAAAGTCTGTTAGGTGCTTTGAACTCAGCATATTCTTGTTTTGTCAAATCCTTTGAAATACTAAAAGTCAGGAAAATATTTTTATGTTTTCCAGATTATTGTTCAGTTGTAACAATTGTGGACCAGACAAATGCAAAGTTAACCTGCCTGCTCTTTAGTGGAAATTATGAAGCCCTTCCAATGATTTATAAAAATGGAGATATTGTTCGCTTTCACAGGCTGAAGGTATAATTCATACTGTCTAGAACTTTTTATTTTTTTTGAAGAGAACTCCGTATTGTTCACTAAAACTAGTTAGCACTAATTATGTGGTTGCTTTGTTATAACATGACATCAAGCATTTGAAGAGATAAGAAGAAATGTAAATAGTATCACACTTCAAATAATGTATGTTAAGAAACCTCTTCATGTGAACAAACTACCTGCCCTCATTCCACAGAAATGTATTTGTTGTTGTGATTCAGACTAGTTGTGCTCTGTCTTCTTGCTTCTAAATATAGATGGATGTTTTAAAAGTTTTCCATGTAGAGCTTGGATAATGAACATTTGTTTTAAAAACAAGCTTTAGGTCAAAAACTACAAAAGTGTACAAAAATTGGGAAATTATATTATTCTTTCTGTTGTATTAGTTCAGGTACAATGAAAGCATTGAGATATTAAGTATCAAATCAAAATAAGTTGATCTTCATTTATGAGAAATGTGTTAAAACATGAAAAGAGGTACTTTTAAGTACTTTTAAAATTATGCTAGCAGTTAAATGTAAGAAAACCTTTGATATAAAAATAAAGCTATTAGTATGTGATTTTTTTAAAAAAAAAATCAACTTTTCAATACTTTAATATTTTTAGTCCTTTAGGTTTTAAACGTTTCAGTCCCTTCATCTTTTCTTCTTATGACATGGGTTTCCATGCAACTCCTTCCTTATCTTGGTTGTCTTTTTCTTCTGATGCTTCAACTTATCTGTGTCCCTCATGGTCGACACAGTGCTCTTAATGAGCACAATATCCCAGGTGTGTTCTCTTCTTAGCTACGGTGGGAATTACCTCTCTTGATCTATCAGTGCCTTTTCCCTGAGAATAGATGAATAGTAGAAAATACTTTCATGAAGATAAAAGTAGAAATACCATTGTAGCACTGTTATGAACTTATTTAAACTTAGCAGAAGAGCTTATTTCTCACAAAGTGTTATGTCTTATAATATTTGTGTTTGTACAATGCACCCTCCCCTCCTAATGTTTTTAGTTATTATTCTTCCTATTGTTTAACTGAAGTGGAATATACATCTCTCCATTCATAGTATAAAAATACTCATATCGCTAGCACTCTAGCAACTTCCTCCATCCCCAGGAGTAAATAGTCTTATAACTTCTAACATCATCTGTATTTGTTCTACATATAAAGAGAATAGACTATAGTTTTTGTTTTTCCTTTTTTTAAAAATTTCTGGCTTACACTTATGTGATTCAACCATATTACTGCATATCGTTTTACTTTGATCATTTTGTTTGCTCAACAGTATTCCATTGTGCAAATATATCAGCATTTATGTATTTTCTGTTGGAAATTTAGGTAGTTTTCAGTTTGAGGATATTATGCTGCTATAAATAGTCTAGCGCATATCTTTTAGTGACTATATATTATAATTATATATACATTTGTGTGTATGATTTACATATAATCATACCTTTATATGTAATTATGTATTATATGTGTAATTATATATATTTACATATTACATATTGTATAGTATATAGTATATAATCAATAATGCATATATTTTATGTATAAATGCATTTCAGATTATATCTAGCAGTCCAATCCGAGGTTCTGGGATATACTTTTGTTTGCCTTTAGTTTTTCTAAGTGTTTTTTTTTCACCAGTTTGCATTCCCATTAGTTCCACATTTTCACCAACTTTCACCAACTTGCTATTTTTCATTTTTTTATTTTAACTATTCAGTTGAATGTATATTAGTATCTCATGGTTTTAACTTGAATTTCCCTGAAATTTATGAAATTGAGAACCCATTAAAATTCAAATTTCTTTTGAAGTATAAAGTATCAGTCTGAGTCTTTTGCTCATTTTTTGTAGGATTTTATCTTCCTTTATTAATGACTTGTGTAAGTTCTTTATATATTTAGGCTACATATTTTTTGTCAAGTATATGGATAGTAACTATCTTTCCGAGTCTATGAATTGCTTCTTTACTCTCTTAATAATGTCTTTTGATGAGCAAATCTTCTTAATTTTAATATAGTCTACTTTATTAACTTTTGTTTTATGGTCACTACTTTTTATGTCCCGATTAAGAACTCTTTGTCTACCCTACCTTATTAAGATGGTTCCTAAGTTTTCCTTCAAGTCATATATTATTTTTCTGTTTTATAGTTAGATCTGTAATTTTCTTTTCCTATAATTTCATTGTTAATTATGGCTATACTGCCTCTTGAAAATAGGAAGCATGCCCTCTTTTTCGATTCTAAAAGAATTTGTGCTAGATTACTGTTTTTTTTCTTCCTTAAATGTTTGGAAGAATGCACTGATGATACTGAGTGGTGATTTCTTTATTGATAGGTTTTTATTAACCAGTTACTCAAATGCTTTGATAAACTTAATTTTTAGAAAAGTCTGCCTTTTTTACCCAGATTGTCAAATTTATTGATATAAAGTTGATCATAATGTCATTTATATTTTAGATGTTTGTAACGATAAATACTGTTTTGTAGTCTTGATGTAATAATTTATTTCTTTTGGTTTTTTTTTTTTCCAGATTAGTCTTTCTAGGTTTATCATTTTTGTTAATTTTTTCAAAGAACCAGTTTTTCACTTTGATTTCCTTGATTGCATGTTTCTATTTCTTTTACCTTGATTATCTTTTCCTTCTACTTTTTTGAGATTTCAGGTATATATTTGTATATCTTCTTGAGATGGAAGCCTAAATCTGATTTAACCTTCCTTCTTTTGCAAAATATTCACTTATGACTATACATTTTTTCTCTATGTACTACTTTAGTTTTATCCAACAACTAACATGTCAAAATTTTACTATCCTTCAATTCACTATATATTCAAATTTTCAGTTGATTTCTTCTGTGAAATTAATTTTACCGTTGTAGAGGATTTATCTATTTCTGTCAATTTTTGCTTCATTATTTGAAGCAATATTAATTTGATTTAGATTTATTTTTTTACTTTATGTTTTGTATATTTTGAGGTTGTTGTATAGATTTAGATTAAGATGTTTTCCGATGATATTATGAAATGTTCCTATTTAGCTATAGTAGTATGTCTTACACTTTTTTTTTTTATTGATAGCTTAGCTAGTTTTGAAAAGCCCTGAAAGTTTTCTTTAGTTAGAAAAAACCATTAAAAGTACAGACATCTCTCTTAGATATCAGTATTTGTTAATATTTTTTCACGTTTTTCTTTGGCTCATTGCAATTTGGAGATCATAGTTCATAGCAAAAATATATATAAAACAAGAGTCAAGTTCTTTCTGTTCATTTTTTTCAACAAATATTTGTTGGGTACCTATTTTATACATGTTTGTGTTTTAATGCAGAGAGCCAGACAGTATAAAAGTAAACATATAAGCCAAGGTAAATTCAGGTGGTGATAGCTACTATGAAGAAAAAACAGAATCAGGAAAGGCCTTTCTAATTAGGAGGTGTAAGACTTGGAGCCTAAATGATGAGGAAAAGTTCTGTTGAGATACGAGGGAAAATGTTTTCCAGGAAAATAGAATTACGAATAGTGAGACCATGAGATAGTTAATGAGCATGGTATTGAAAAAAAAAACAGAAAGAAGGCCATCATGGATCTTAGTCAGCTATTCAGAGGGTAGTGTAAGATGAAACTGGAGAAGAAGGTAGAGACTAGTTCATATATTGCCTTATGGTAAGTAAGTTATTTAGATTTTATTCTATTCAATGGGGGTTATTAGAGGGTTTTAAATAGAATGATTTGATTTATATTTTGAGAAAAGCACTCTGACAGTTACTTGGACAATGACTTGATTGTTATGGGGCAAGCATGAAAGAAGATCAGTTATTTCAATTTCACAATCTTGAGATGGGGATGGCTTAGAATAGGGTGGTTGTGGAAATAGAAGTAGATAAATTAAGGTATGTTTTGAATGTGCAGCAAAGTGTATTTGTGGATAAGTTCAACATGAAAACAAGTTACCAACACACCTAAGCTAGAAGATTGTTCTGGTCTACACTGATAGTCAGCAGAGGCAGACTTTGGTAAACAGTATAGCTTAGTGAACAATGGAATTGCTGATACAAAGAAAGATGAGCGTAGAACCAAGAATCATTAGACTTTAAGCCTAAATCAAAAAAGAAAAACGGCATATGCAATAAACAGAACTCACTTAAGCGTGTGTAAAACAAATTAATTGATTAGTTATGGGACAAGTACAATTAGTATCTGCAGAGTGAACTTCTTTGTATGTGAAATTAACTGGTACTAGACCAGCCCTACTCCTATAAAGATTCGTAAAAATGGACAACATGTATGAGACAACTATTTTCAGACATTGGACAGCAGACACCTGTGATCAGAGAGAGAAGAGAAACAGATAAAATAAGCCAAATGGTCACCCAAACTCTGCCTGAGGGCAGTTTTTCAACCACTGCACAGCATGCTGAAGTGCGAGCAGAAAATAGTGGTCCTGCTAAGCTGAGGCAGCTAAGAGCAGAGTTCAAAGCAGCCGAAAGAGCTGGAATCAAGACAGTTCACCAGAGAGGACAGAGTTGTACAGAAGGGGAAGTCCAGAAGTCTGCTGGGGTAGGGTTGTTGCCCATGAATACTTGGATAAGCTGGGCTGTGCATGGGTAGGGCAAGACTACTTAAGGATTACAAGGGCTGCTGTGTGATTGTGCATTTTAGAGGTGTTGCAGTTGGGATGCTTGAGGTCTAACCTAGTTAGAGATAAATAACCCTATTAATATCTCTTTAATATGTTAGCTATTCAGCTGAGATAACACAAAGGCCTCACCTCACAAAGGACCAAATCCTAGAGTAAAGCCTACTCTAGATGTGTTTTTTCAAAGCCTGAGACAAGGTCTACAGAGAAGACAGTATTGCAGGATGAGTCCCACCAAGGCAGAAGGACTTTGGGAAACATTATGAGCTTTCCACAGAGTTATTCTAACAAAGCATGCAGCCAGGCCTTTATAAGTTTAAAGCAATCATCCAGCAACTGAACTGCTAACAAGAACAAGAATCAATGTTGGTCAGAAGTAAGGTAACATAATTCAGAGTCTTTACAGTATATCATCTACAATGTCTAGTAAAGATGAAAAAATACTAGTCATGAAAAAATAGGAAAATACTACTCATAGTTAAGAAAAAAAATCATAGACACTCTAATCCAACTTTACAGTGGCCCGGGTGTAAGATTTTAAAACAAAAACTTTGAAGCAGTTATTATTTTTAAAGACTTAAGTATGTTCAGCAAATTAAGAGAACATGTGGTTAAATTAATGCAACATAAAAAATTTCTGTAGAAATGTGGAAACTATAAAAAAGAACCTAATAGAAATCGAATAACTGAAAAAAGCAGCAAATAAAGTAAAATGAAAAACTTACTGGATGGGCTAAACAGCAGATTAGATATATCACATTTACTTAAGAATATAGGTTAATAGAAGTTATGTAATCTGAAGAACAAGGATTAAAGAAATCTTGAACAGAGCCTTAGGGACCTGTGGAATAATATCATATGGTAAAACATGTCATTTGAGATACAGGAGAAGAGAATGGGAATGGGAAAAAATATTTATAGAAATAAGTAGCAGAATCGTTTCCAAATTTGATGGAAAATACTGATTTTCAGATCCAAGAAACTCAGTACACTCTGTGTGGTACCACAAAAAAAAATGCATCTAAACAAATCTCAGTGAAACCTTTAAAAAAAGTTAAGTTAGATGGCGGGAAAATGACACATTTCATATGGGAAACATTGGTACCAGTCATCTTCGATTACTTACCAGAGATAACAATACCTGAAGAACAAAGTAATGATAAATTTTCAGTGGTGATAAAAAATTTATTTACCCAGAAATTTGTATCCAGAGAAAATATCCTTCACAAGTGAGGGTAAAATAAAGACATTTTTATATAAAAAGAAATGAGAGACTCCATAGCCAAAATATCTTACTACAAGAAAATGCTAAAGGATAGTATTCAGGGAATTCTATAAACCAGAAAATTATTAGGAAATAACAAAACAAACAAATAGGAAATTAATGAGTAAATAAATCTGACAGTGTTTTGTATTCCTTTAATTTCACTAAAAGATAAATGGCTATTTAAAAGAAAAACAATATTGTAAGGTGGAGTTTATAAAATATATAGAAAGATATGACAACAATAGAACAAATGGGTGGAATGGTTAAATGGAATTATACTACTTAAAGGTTATTACCTTCAGAGGTTATTATACTTTAGAAAGTGGGAAATGTGAAATGGAAAGTAAGAAGTAAGTAGAACAATATTGATTCTAAATCAACTTTGAGACATTAAGAATTCATTCATAGCTCAGAGGAAGTAAATGGAACACTAATAAGTTCAAAATAAGACAAGAAAGGAACAATAGGAAAATAGTTTTTAAAAAGAAAAACAAGATAATAGTCTTAAATATAACCATATCAGTAATTACATTTATGTAAATAGACTAAACACTCCTTCTGCAAGGAAAAAATAGAGTGAAGAAAAAAAAGCAAGAACCAAATATATATATCTATAAGAAATAAAGACGCAAACAAGTTGGAAGTAAAACTGTAGAAAAGATATACCAAGCAAACGGCATTAGGAAGGTGAAGTAACTATATTAATACCAAAGTATTACAAGAGATTAAAAGGAGGGAGCATTTCACAAAGACCAAATAGTTGCTTTATGAAGAACATGTAACAACCATAGATGCATGTGTGTCTAATAACTGAGCTTCGGAATCCAGAAAGCCAAAGTATGGTATATCTTGACTCTCAGTCAGACCTGAGGCTGAATCCTTAGCCTCAGCTGCGTTTTATTCACTTCAAACGCTTATATTTTAAATATCTAGTTTCCCTTTTACATTCATGAGTAACTGTCATTTGTTACTCTTTTTCCTTTTGTAAATTATATATCTTAATACACAATGCAATACTCATATGACATTATTGAATTGTACACTTGAAACCTATATAATTGATCAGTCACCTAAATAAATTTTATCTGCCACTTGTGACAACACGGATGGATCTTGAGATAATCATGCTAAGCGAAATAAGCCAGACAGAAAAAGTTGAAAACCACATGATGTCACTTATATGTGGGATATAAATCTAAAAGCAACAAACAAACTGGACAAACAGACAGAGACTCATGGACATGGACAGTAGACTAGTGTTTACCAAAGGATATGGTAAACACTAGTCTACTGTCCATGTAGAAATGGGGTAAAAGGGGTCAGATATGTGGTAATAGAATTCAACTATGGGTGGTGAAAATACAGTGCAATATAAATATGACTTACTGTTGATTTGTGCACTTGAGACTTAATGGATTTTGTTAACCAATGTCACTATAATAAATAACAAAATAACTAATAAATGTAAAAGTACAAGCTTGATAGCATTAAAAGCCTACCATCTAGCTCTTTAGAAATAACTGCATAGTGTTTTACAATTTACATGGTGCTTGTGGATCTTGATAGAGCCCAGTTGATTTCATAATTTTGTATGCTAATTAAATGAAATATGTCCTCTATCTAAAAAGAATTATGTCCTCTATTAACTATGCTGGTAAAATTTTATAATCTCTCAAGTTTCTTCAGTTCCTGTGTTCTGCATCAGTAAGCTGTTTTGTTTCTTTCTATTTTGTTTTCTACATTGTCCCACTTTCTTAGATACAAGTATATAAAAATGGGACTCAAGGTATCACCAGCACTGGCTTTGCATCTTTGACATTTGAGGGAACTTTGGGAGCTCCTATTATACCTCGTACTTCAAACAAGTATTTTAACTTCACAACTGAGGACCACAAAATGGTAGAAACCTTACGTGCTTGGGCATCTACTAATATTTCACCTTCTTCGACGTTAGTAAAATTGTGTGATGTTCAGCCAATGCAGTATTTTGATCTGACTTGTCAGCTCTTGGGTAAAGCCGAAGTGGATGGAGCATCATTTCTTCTAAAGGTAGAAATTTAACTTTCAGTGTTAACTCAGTATCACCTACATGTCTATAAAGAGCTTATATTTTAACATTCTGATGTAATTGCTTACTGTGTATTAAGTTAAGAACTTAAAATCTAACTTAACCATATTTGATGAGCCTGGGTAGCCATAGAACTCTACTCTTGACCTTCTTTATCCTATATTTCCAGAGAAAAAAGTGTCATCAGATCTATATTTTAAATGTAGTATAGTTCATGTTATATTTATGTATTTTGTATTTTAGTACTAATAAAATACATGTATTTCTTACTTTAGTACTAAAAAAATTACTATTTTTTAGTTGCAGCTACATATGCATATTTCTTCTTCCCTGTCAAAGTGGCCTTTCTTCTTTTTCATTCACTTTCTTGGCCCTTTGATGTTGAGTTCTCTTCCCATGTCATTACACTGCCTTCTTCATGGGTAGGTCATAGACTGTTTTGAAATGTTTATTGTTCTTGCTATGTTTTGTTTTGTTTTGTTTTTAAAGCAGGATAAAAAAAGGTAACATAAGACCCATCCAATCTTTGTTTGCAGTATTCCAGTTTACTCATGAATACCTTTTGGAGAAGGCAGTTATCTGTTATTATCCTCACTTACCCATCCTAGGCAAAATGCATTTAAATACACATTGCTTCTGCCCTGTTCCTGTGGTTACTTAGCTTCCGACTCTTTGGAACAATAGAACAGGAAATGGGGTATAGTGACACTTTGATAGATATTGGGGTTTATCGTTATTATCATTTATACATTGCCTATATTAAGGAATGGTGAAGATAGAAATCATTGAATAAAATGTGAAGATTTCCAGGTTGAAAATAGTAGTTATATACATGAAATACTGTGAAAATGTAAATGCATACCATATAAGTCAAGTACAACAAAGCTGAAGCTAAAGCAACATAAAATCATCCTAACAAAATTAAAAAGGAACCTTAGGTCAACCAGTCATGACTCTTGTGACATCCTTAACAAATGAGCATTTGCTAATCACCAAATACTTCCAATGACAAGGAATCTACTGTATAGAGCTGTGTTGTTAGAAAATTCTTAAATTCTGAGATAAGATCTGCCACCTTTTAGCTGATCTGACTGAATCTTCATTATTCTCTCTAAAGCAACAAAACATATACCTGCATCCATTTTTATAGATAGCCTTTTCAGATGAGTGAAAACAGCTTTCATGTAGATGTTAGTTGCTTTTATTACTTAATTCTATCATAGAGATTTTTTTACATCACCACCTAAAAAGTTTCTTATATTAGTTTCCTGTGGCTGCCATACGAATTACCACAAACTGGATAGCTTAACATAACATAAATGTATTATCTCAGAGTTCTGGAAGCCTAAAGACCAAAGTCAAAATGTCGGCAGGGCCATACTCCTTCCAAAGCTTCTCGGGAAGAATCCTTCCTTGTCTCTTCCTAGCTTTTGGTGGTTGCTGGTATCTTTGGATTGCCAGGTGCACCACTCTAATCTCTGTCTCCATTTTCAAACAAATGACCTTCTTTCCTTTGTGTCTCTTATAAGGACACCAATCATATTGCATTTAGGTACCAATCTAATTCAGTATGTTTTCATCTTAACTAATTACAGCTGCGGAGACATTGTTTTCTAATAAGGTTACATTCAGAAGTTCCAGGTAGACATGGATTTGGTGGCAGGACACTACTCAAATGCTTTGTTTTTTATCGTACGGAAGCATGGCATGTTTTTAACTTGCATGCTATTGATGCATTCAGGAGATTGACTTAAACATTTGTTATTTCACATGTGTGCTCATAGAGCTGTGAAGATAAATTATTAGAAATAGAATTGCTGATTCAACGAGTTTATACACTTGAAATTTTGGTGGCTCTTGCTGATTTACCCTTGATGTATGAAAGTACCTATCTCCCAACAGTAGTACCTGTTTCCTAACAGTAAGATATATAGGAAGTGTTATATGTAGTTAATAATTTCTTTAAAAATATAGAAAAAGATAAAATTGATAAATAAGTTCAAAAGTTTAAAAAACAAAATTAGGCTATTCTAATTTTTAAAAACGAAGAATTTTTTAAAGTAGAAATAATACAAGAGATATATTTATATATGTAGGGGTATTTATACACCATAAAATGTTATATTCAACTTTTATGCTAGTAAATATGAATCTAAATTAAATTGTTTATTTTTTCATTTTTTAAAATTTAAATCTAATTTAGATTTTTTGAATTGTTGAATTAACTATTAATGATTGTGCCAAGATGGTGAACTTCTTCAAACTGAATTAGACCAAAAACAGACCAATATTGCACAAAACAAGGACATGCATCCAGTTTCATTTAGAAATATAGAAACCAAAATATTAATTTTTAGAAATCAGAAATGGTTTAATTTTAGTATAATTACTGTAATCTCCATGAATGTTAGAAATTATATCATTTTAATGAACATTAAAAATGTTTATGAAAATGTTTAGCAAAATAGAAAAGTATGCCTCCTTAACTTGATAAATAATTTTATCATAAGGTAAACAATATTTAGTGTTGGAATTCTGGAGTCAGTAATGCCAGGAGCAGGACAAAACACACACTGTTTTCTGTTATGTAATGTTTGTTCAGGAAGTCTTGGGAGATTTAACTATTTTAAAAGAAAATGGTCAGTACTTACAAGATATAAAATCCTAACAATTAACTTAAAAGGTATTTGGATTAATAGAATTATTCAATGAGCAAACTTATTTAAAACATTAGTAAAATATAGCTTTCCTAAACATCAGTCATAAATAGAATATGTAATTGAACAAAAAATCTTTCAAAGTCTCAGCAACTGTAAAACAAAGTTTATGCAAGAAATACCTGACCTGTGAAGAAAACTATGACACTACTGAGGAGCTTAAAAGAAAACTTGAACTATTAAAAGATTTTTTATTTTTTTCTAAAGTTTTTTAAAGAAAATATAATTTTAATTAAAACCACAATGTTTTTTTAATTGACTGTAATTCTAAAGTTTATTAGTAGAAACATTAAGTGATCAGGAATAAAACAAAAAAGGCTTGCCAAAGAAAACTAAGTGGGAGCTCCATATCAAATATTAAAACATGTTATGAAATTATAATAATTAAAGCTATAGTAAGACCAATCAGTGGAAAAGATTAGTAACCTCAGAAATAATCTTATACCTATAGTAATTCAATACATGATAAAAAGAACATTAAATAACATTTCAAATTGATAAAGAACTGAAGCATAAAAGCTGATAGCAACACTCTACCCTCTCAACCCCTCCCACAAGAGATTTGTGGATTGGTCTGTAAAGCCATTTTAAAATCACAAAAACAGTGTACACAAAATGAAGAAGAAATTCCAGGTGGAGAAAAATGTTTGTGAAATGTGTTGTTACTTCTCCCAAAAGCAGTTTTCCTGGTTCTTTGAATAATTTAGGGAACAGAGTGAGTAACAACAAACTCATGATTGTTTGTTTGTTTTTTTTTGAAGCTTAGCACTATCGTCATTATTCAGTACTTCCTCTGTAATCTGACACTGACAGACACCTTCTCTATAGAAATGTAGTGTTTTTTATTCAAATAGCCTGTTTACTTGTGTTCAGCCAAACTTCTGATATGCAGAGGCATTTCCACCTCACATACCCTTGTCATACCCTTTATAGCATAACATAGCCCGCTCATCTCTTAAAATTCCAGCACAGCAGAGGCTTGCTCATATTGTAAGGTGGGGGTAGTACATACTCATCCTGTACCCATCCTGTTTCCATCCTTATCTCAATGCACCTTACACAGCAATCCAACATTCTGTTTTCTTTTCCAGCATCCATGATGTTTATTCATTTGTATTCATAACATCTAACATAAGCAAAATATTCGTATATGTACTTTTGAAGGCCTTTTCCAAATCAGAACAAAGTGAAAAAGTGGGCAAAGGTCAGAATGCATTCCTAAAAGCTAGGAACTTATACTTAAGAAAATTAGAGATACTCGTATGTAAAGGTTTATATACAGGATGGTAGTTACTAAATTATTTAAAATGGCAAGAAGTTTGAAACAACCCAATAAAATAATGTGAAACCATTGAAAATAGCGTTTTAGAAGAATACTTAAATCCCCTGATAAATTTCTCCACAATAATCTAAGAAACAAAAAGAATATAATGCTAGTTTGTTTAAAAAAAAAAAGGCATGTGTATATATATACAGAAGCAAAAAAGAAAGTTCAACAACATGCTAATAGTTTTTCTAGGGTCATAGCAGTTTGAGCTTTTTACTTTACATTTTCCACATTGCCTATACACATGTCCTTTTACAATCAGAAAAGAATACACTCATGTCATATTTAAAGTTTAGCAGATATTTGGTAGAATACATTTAATTACTTTATATTGCCAGCAAATAAAACTCCATAGTTTTACAAAAAGATCATTAAAATTTCCTCTACTCTTTTATGGCAGGTGTGGGATGGCACCAGGACCCCATACCCATCTTGGAGAGTCTTAATACAAGACCTTGCTTTTCATGGTGACTTAAGTCACATCCATCGGCTGCAGAATCTGACAATAGACATTTTAGTCTATGATAACCATGTTCAAGTGGCGAAATCTCTGAAGGTGATGTTGAGTAGGAAGCATGTTGCTATTTTTATTTTTATAAATCACATTTATAGATGAGAAAATCTAGGAATTAACTCCAAATTTATTTTTTCTTTAATTTTAAGTTTGTAAAATGTGTGTTCAAAATAACTTACTGATAGATATATTAGAATATAATAGTTTGAACAGCTTTTTAAAATTAAAGAATGTTTCCTGAATATCTTAGAGCCGTACACAGTTTTGCTATGAAAATAGTAAAGGAAAATTTTGTGCAAGATAATCCTGCTTTAAAAGGACAGAGGGTGTGTGTGTGTAATAAAGATTTGTAAATTTAAACATTAAGCTTTGTTAATTGGTTTGATAAAATCTGGCCTGTATTTTATACTCATTAGATTAAGAAATTATTAATCCACCTCTAATATATATTACAAATTGTGTATCTGTGTGTACTGTACAATTTATTAGAATTTGCTGTTTTTGAGACTTTTTTAGGTAAAAGTACATTGTTTAGATATGGCACTTCTTGCTTAGTAATATATTTTAAGGAATATTTTTCTTCATTTTATTATATCTTATTTGCAAGTGTCCTTTTTAACAGAGAATGGCATCAATAATAATAATAATTGTAACATTTGTTATGCACTTCAGATGTACTAAGTACCATCCTGTGTAGTATGTACTATCATCACTCTCATTTTATAAATGAGACATTCAGAGGTTAAGCCCAAGTTCACAGCTACTTCAGTGAAGCCAGTATTTGAACCTACAAACTGTTTCCAGAACCAGTACTTTTTAACCCATCTAAAGAAATAATGTTCTTTACAAATAGCTTCCATCCTACCTTTAAGGAGTTTTTATAGCCTATTTATAGGAAGAAAACTGTAAAAGTGAATTCAGTTTTTTAGAACTGAATTTTAGTGCCCAGTTTTTCTTTGTAAATTACATATACTTGGAGGAGGAAATATTTCCATTTGCATGTTGTGTTTCAAATAAGTCTACCCAACTCAAATCAGTAAATTAGTTAAAGTCATGGTCCTGGATGATGATAACTGCGTTTTCTTGTCTTTTAGGCGTGTGTCAGTGCACCTGTTCATACTTGACATATTAGAGAAAATTGACTGTTGAAAATATATTTTGATGCTTTCCCCTGATTTTATATACATTGATTATTTTATTTAAAAAAATATAAGTGAAAAAGATTTACATTTTAGATCTACTTTCACCATTTAATTCCCTTCTCTTTCCTATGCTGCTTCTATAGGTATTTCTGTTCTTCTCACTTGTCTCGATTTCTGTGTCCAAGTCCTGAACAGTACCCAGCAGAGTGCTTTCCATATAGTAAGGATGAAGTAAATAATATCTGCTGGCGAGTGAATGAATAAATGAGTACTGTGAATTTTTTTCAGATTTTTTCCATTTCCCTTTTTGTCTGCTTCATATCACCCACTAGAGGGTGCTGTGAGCCCACGTAATTAAAATATAAGACAATATTTTTCTAAAGATATCATGACATTATATTATTTACCTGCAATATAATAGAAAAATGAAAAGGATTTTCTCTGTGTATAAGTAATTTAACTGTAGGCTTTCATTAATATACATTGACATCACATTTTGAGACAAACTTTGTATCAACCATTTTATATAAATTCAAGAAATCCCTAGAGGCAGATGACATTGATATGAATGAATTCTTATCAGCACTTGAAGACAGCTGTTTAAAACTACATTTTTATACTGAAATACATGGAACACATACTTTTGTTTATAGGAATGAGAGAAAAATGTTTTTAAATAAAGAGGACAGTTAAGGCAATTATGAAGTATAATATAATTGACTTCTCTATATAACACATTTTATAGCCTAAGTTGCCCTTAACATTTTTCCTAAGTCTTGATTTTTAAGTAAGTTATCACATTCCCTGAACATTTTATAGAAACACACACACAGACACACACACACACACAGACATTTCAAACCTTTTGTCTAGAAGTTAAAGCAGTATATTCTCAATCCCTAGTCTTATCCTCATATAATTTAAAAATAATTATAGAACATACGTAGTCTAATTATGTTTGACCTTCAGTGACTCAAGAGCTATCTATAATTTGGTTATTTTCAGACATGTACAAGTCATTGAAAATATTGAACTTCAAGTCAAATTCATGACAGTTTATAAGGAATATTTAAATTATTTCAAAAGGGATAGTGATTTCTTAATACCCATATTTGCTTTGCTTTAATTTTAATGTTTCTATAATGAAATGGGCTTTTATAATAATTCCTTAGAGTAGTTTTTATATTTCTTTGCATTGACTCCCTCACTTGCATTTTTGAAATTTTGTCACATTATTGACAGGACTAAGCAGGATTTGTCAATTATAATAGAGCATCTGGTATATTTCCTAGTGTATTTAGTAAGTTTAAAATACAATACTGCCTCCAGAAGGAATTTCTGAAAATAACAATTTGTCATCTTTATAGCCTATTTATATAAATAAGCTCTCTCTTAGTCTTTAAGTTTTGTTTTATTATGGAATAGTACAGAAGATAGTATAATGAACATCCATGTGCTTATTGAAATTTAACATTTCTAAATGTTTTACCACACTTATTTTAGGTACTTTTAATTTTTAAGAAATGACTACCTATTAAAACTTCTTTGTACTTCTGCCTAGTCTCATTTTTTTTGCTCCCCAATATTTTCTTTCTATATATCTTAACGTGTAGGTATGTACATTTATGTTTATTATGCTTTCGTATACTTTTGTCTGAAAAATATGTATTGTATATGTATCATTCTGTAATTTGCTTTTTTCTTTGACGTATTTGCAGGATTTGGCCATGTTTATATATGTGTCTGTATTAATACCAGACTGTCTTAATTATTATATCTATATTTTTAAATTATAGCCCATAAGTCAAGCCCCCACTCTCAGTTTAGTCTTCAAAATTGACTTGTCTGTTTACTCTTATATATATACCTTAAGAGCAGCTTTTTAAATTCTAAAGACACTGGGAATTTTTATTAAAATTCTATTGATTTTTTTAAGGAATAATTAGAATTTATCTTTATAATGTTTTATCTGTGAGTATGGTATCTTTCTCTTTGCATTTGGCCTTTAAGTCCTTTGTGGGGCTTACATGTACTATACTAGTATATTACATATATAAAAAGAATCACCATTTATAATAAACATTCAAAAAAGTCAGATAAAAGTGAATAGAAATAGACTGTGTTATATTTTCTTTGCTTTAGAGACCATGAGGATAATCAGTTTTGTCTTTTTTTTTCTTTTTGTGTTTTCCTTCTCTGACTACCCTATTCCTCTACCATGATCTAGTTGTTGGTGGAAGAAGTCAGAGAAGAAAAGACTAAATACCTTACCTCCTCCTCACAAAATCTGTAATTGGATAGGGCAAAGACTCTCGGGAATGAAGGAGTGGGTCTGAGAGTATGGATTATTCCTTTTTATTTTTTTCTCTTATTTCTCCCCCGCATCAAATCCAGAGGGTGATGAGGAGAAATACAATTAACTGAAACAGCAGTAAGCATGGTGGGAGGCTGGTTTACTGTCTCATTTTTGTTATATTTCCCCTTATATAGCTTTTCTGTTACTTAGACTCTCACCACTGTTATTCAGTCCTGACTGTGAAGGGAAAAAAGAGAAGGATAGTCCCACAGTCATCAGCAGTCAGGAATGCTGCCCTATGCAAATGAATTAGATTTCCTGCTTGGTAACTCATTTTGTTAATAACCCTTTCTTCATAAAAGTAAATGTGATTTAGGTTATATAGCTTCTTTTGAGAAGGTATCAATTTCTTTGATAATCATTCTGCCACATTTTAAGTCTTCTACATTAAAAGTATATCAAAAACTCTATAATTAAAGATATTTTTAAGATTCTGTTTAGTAAAACTATAGAAATTAACTATAGAACATTTAGTTCAAAACTATAATGGGTTTAATTCTATATTTGAACTCATGAATATGTTTCACGTTATGCTGTACAGACACAAATTGTTCATTACAGAAGTTTTATTTTTATAGAACTTGTGGAATAGGGGATGTATTATTTTGATATAGTAGCATACTTTAAAATATTTTCTAGTATTCCTATAATGAGAGTGTTTCAGTGATCATATTTTATTAAATCTTAACTTAGTTAAAAGAAGTTGTTTACAGAAACCTTAATAAAATGGGTTTATTAATTAAATGAGGGCTTGGACTTGATTTAGGTCATGCGTTTCTTAACAACTGTATTTTATCAATGCTGAGACTCAATCTTATTTCATACTTCAAGATCTCTGAAATGTAAATATGTCTTATATTTGAAAATATCTATATGCATACATACACTCACACACACAGTTTTGGTTTGATACAGTGTCCTTGGGGCTGATATTCAGTACACACCAATATAACCTACCAGGATTCTCTGATCAGTCAGTGTCCATGGTTGTTGGTCTATGCCCCATGCGGTTGAATATTTTAGGTATCGGAAATTGTTCAATTTTTCTCCATTTTCTAAAAAAAATAATTTATTTTTAGGTTGGAAGCTTTCTTAGAATTTATAGCCTTCACACCAAACTTCAATCAGTGAATTCAGAGAATCAGGCAACATTGCTAGCTCTAGAATTTCATCTCCATGGAGGTACCAGTTATGGTCGGGGAATCAGAGTCTTGCCAGAAAGCAACTCTGATGTGGAGGAACTGAAAAAGTAAGCATATTACATACTTATTCTGAAATTGTAAATAAGGTATTAATTAAACTGATTTTCAATAATGTTGTTCTGGGATGGAGAGAGGGGATCTAATAGGTTCCTAGTAGTTGATTCTCAGAACCTTCTGTGCCATTATCCATTTTTAAAAAAACAGATGAACCTAATGAAACAAATCAAGTGATTATAGGTTCAAACAGCTAAATAGTAGCTGAGCTAGGGTTACAGTCTAAGGTTTCCAGTAATTACCTGTGCACTAACGTCGACTCTGCACTTCTGCTCATCCTCTACCAAGCAACAAGCAGTGGAAACTGGAGTTTAGCTAAAATTTCGAAAACTTGATTTATATCTAGCTTTCTAAACATACTTGATCCTACCATGAAAAAAATAATTGCCTTTCTAAAGTGACAATAACTGGTAAAATAGGTAACAGAAATGTTTTAGGTTATCATATTTTTCAAACTTTTAGATGTTTCAAGAAAGTAAATAGTACCTTAAATGCTGCTATACTCACAGTTGTTTTTTCTTTTCTTTTCTTTTTTTTTTTTTGGATGTGCTTCTAGTGGTCTGTGTATAGAAACTTTTTGACCAGTATTCTAGAGAATTAAAAATAAATCTTTGGCATATCTTCAAAGAGATATGGAAAATATCCTGCTCTGTATATTGAAATGACATAGGTATTTTCTAAGTTTTAATATATTTAAATCAGTACAACTTTAAAACCAATTAAATTAGTTATTTTAATAATCTTATATCAATTTCACTACTTTATTTCTTATATTGCAATATACAGCAGTGTATTTTACTTCTTGAATCTAGAGAGAGATTGTTCTGATTCATAATGTTATCCATTAAATTCATTTGTTTGCAGTATTTCATCATCTCACTGTTACACTTGTATCTTTCTACACTCAGATTTTTTTTTTAATTTTGAGGGCTCTTAGAACCCCAGATAATCTCTGAAAAGCTATGTCCTTCTGAAGAATTTATATATCCACACAAAATTTTTTATACAGTTTTAATTAGTTCTTGGTGTCTATGGGTAGAGCTAGACTGACCATATTGACTTTGTTTTATGCAATTTGAACTTACATTCTTTCAATTATAGGGTTTTAGAACATGCAAATTTGACAGCCAATCAGTGTCCAGATGGCATATGTCAATCAGAACATGAGGACAGCTTTCCAACAAGTAAGGACAATTTTTAACATTGACAGTTCAGTTTCTGCTAGGTAAAATGCCTTTATCACCATTAATCCACCCTTTTACTATCTTCCTACCTCTGTCTCTTTTTTAAAAATTCATTGTTTTTATGATGACATTGGTTAACGAAATCCAATAAGTTTCAGCTGTACATTTTAACACTAAAGCATATATATATTTATACTATGTGTTCACCTCCTATAGTTAGATTTCTTCTCTCTTATTTTTTAAATCCATATTTATAGTAAAGGAGCATGCTAAATCTTTGTGTTTATGCAGAGGTAAACATTGTTTTTCCCTTAATTGTATAATTATATTTTCAAATTGGGGTGATGGAGATTACTTGATTTGTGATATATGTAGTATTTCTTTTGTATATAGATTTATGTGTATTTGTGTGTATTTATTCATCTATTAAATATCTGTATTAACTTCTTAAGTAACTGTTTTGCATGTCAGTATCTAAAAGAAACAATAATTGTTTTTGCTGCTTTATTTCAAACAGCCTAAGTATTTTTTGACTATACATATCTTAGATGTATACATGATTCCCAGGCTTTCTTGAGTTAATCAAATACCTAATTATAAGATATCAACAAACACTCAGTTGTATATTTCTATTATTATCTACTTGAATAAGTGACTATTCAAATCTCTAAATTTTAGAACTCTCAGTCTGTAAGAATTTTTTCTTTTACCACTTTGTCTTAATATCTCCTTGTACATCCTAGGATCTAGAATCTATGTCATATTTCTTAAATATATTTTTTACAATCTAACTCCTTTTCTACTATGATCCAAAGAATCATTTTATAAGTATTTACTCTCTATACCAATAATGATAAGCATTAGAATTAACATTAGAATTAACTAAGTGCCTACATGCATTATTATTTAATACTAACAGCACTCTTATAAGGCTAATATTTTCTCTTTTTTATGGAAAGGAAACTGAGCCTTTGAGTTGTGGTGGTCATGTAATTTGCCAGGTTTACTTAGCTTTTAACTGATGGCAAAACCAGTCAGATTCCAATGCAAGTTATTTGATTTTTTTGTTTTTGTACATATTTTAAATTTATTTCTTCTTTCTCTCTGCCTTAAAACTCTCCACATTTCCTAGCACCTTGGTGATGGCATTTTAGCCTGAGCTATGATGATTACTTGAATGACCATTACAAGACCAATTTAGTTCAGTCAGCAGTCATTTAGAGACAGTATAATTTCTGTTTACATTTTTTGGAATCTCTTTTCTCCTTTTAAAAGGATTTTTAAATTATTTTTTAATTATAAAAGTAATATAAGACCGTAATATCAAGTTACATAGGTTTCCCATACCTTTAAGCCCACTTCCTGAGGTAATGTTAACAGTTTAGTCTGATTTCTTCAAAACTTTCATGTTTATATAAATATATATACCAATACATAAACATATATGACTTTTCCCACTGTTTAAAATTTTTACAAAAATGGGACCATATTATAACAGTTGCTTCATCATGTACCTATTTCTGAGATAATTCATATAACTCAAACTCATTCTTTTAATAGTTGCATTATGTTTTATAATATGTATCTAACATTATTAATTCAGCCATTTCCATTTGACATTAAGGTTATTTTCAGTTTTTTGCTCTTACAAATAATGCTTTAATAAACATCCTTGTACAATTGTACTTTCATGCTTTTACTTCTCTAAAAGAAACTCTTAAAAGTGAGGTCGAAGGATAAAAGGGTAAGCACATTTCTTATTTTTATAGATGATGCCAGATTCTGTGCCAAAATGTCAAGATTCGTATGCAAATAGCAGTGTAGGAGAATGACCTTTCCTGACATTCTCTGTGTAGTAGAGGTTAATATATGTACTTTTTGACAATTTGGCAGGTATAAGGTGATATCTTATTTATGTTTTTTGAGAACTTGGAAACTTAAAAATCTTATATATTAATCAGCAATTTTTACTCCATCTTTGAATTATCTGCTCTTACCCTTTATCTGATTTTCTGTTGAGTTCTTTATCTTTTTTCTTATCAGTTTATGGAAAACCATGTGTATATTTTACACATATTTTATCATTTGACTGCTTTTAAGGTTTTTGTCATTGTTTTCATACAGAATGGCAGATATTAAGTAATCAGATTCAGTGAAATTATACTTTGTCAGCTTAACATGTCGATTCACATTCTCTTGCCATGAATTCTTATGCCATTTATTAGTTATACTGAGGAATAAGGACAAGTAATGCATATAATTGAATATGATGACCCATAAATTATAAAAACATAATATACTATTATATATAATAGAATGTAAGCTACAGTAATTACAAAATATGGATATTTTTTCAGGTCTTAAATACTTCATTTTAGAAAGCATTATTAAAACTTACTGCTATGTTCACTACTTTTGCTTTCTTGTTAAAGTAAAATCTTATTTTATCAGGTCATCCTATTAAATTTAGTAAGTTTATTATTTTATTCATCTCTCCCTTTATTTCCTTCACAATGTATTTTTCTAAAATAATGAAATTTTTCAAACATGCAGAAAATTTGAAACAATTGTATAGTGAACACTTATGTACCCACTACCCGTTTGCTCAATTAACATTTTCCTCTATGCGCTTTGTCATTTATTTCTCTTTGAATCTATCAATTCATCATATTTTTTGATGCATTTCAAGTAAATTGCAGACATAAGTATACCTCCTAAACATTTTAGATTGAACATCATTAACTAGAGTTCAATATTTGTTTAGGATTCTTTTTCATTTTTGAGGTAAAATTATACACAATGAAATGGAACTCTTGAGTATACGATTTCATGAGTTTTGACTAATACACAAGGCTATTTGATCTAAATCCCTCTTAAAATCTAGAACGTTACCCTTGTCACAGAAATTTCTCTGATGCTTATTCCTAGTCAGTCATGATCACCACCCCTACCCCAGAAGTTCTGATTTTTTTCCACTGTCGATTAACTGTGCCTGTTCTAGAACTTCAAATAAATGAATTACTATATGCTCTTGTACATACTGTATGTTTTTGATATTCATCCGTATCATTGCATATATCTGTAGGTGTTTTTTTCTTTTTTCGATACTAGTAGTATGGAATGAGATAGACTTTTTTTTTAATATGAATTTTCAGTTGTTGTAGCACCGTTTTTCTGTAAGATGGATTTGGCATTTTGTTGAAAATAAAATGAGTATAAATGTGAATTTATTTTGAGGCTTTCCAGTTAACACTTAGTAATATTATGAAGTTAGCATTTTTTTTTTCTTATATTAATTTCCAGTTGTTGCAGCACCATTGTTGAAAGGGTGTTGTTTTCCCCTTGGATTGCTTTGTTGCCTTTATCAAAAATCAGATGATAATGTAACTGTGGGTTTATTTCTGGGCTTCCTATTTAATTTTATTGATATGTTGGTTAGTCTTTATGTCAGTGCCATATTGTCTTGATTACTATAGCTTTAGAATAAGTCTTTAAGTCATGTAGTATAAGTCTCCCAATTTTGTTCTTTTTCAAGATTATATTCTAGATTCTAGATTCTTTGCATTTCTACCTAAGTCATAGAATCTGTTTATCTCTTTCTACAGTTAAGCCTCTGCAATTTTGCTTGGATTGCATTGAATCTACAGATCAATTTGGGGAGAATCGGTATCTTAACAATATTGAGCCTTCCAATCCATAAACATGGCATATTTTACTATTTGTTCAAATCTTTTTTAGTTTTTCTCAGCCGCGTTTTATAGTTTTCAGTGCCCCATTGAATTTTTAATGGATTTTAAAACTGTATAATTCCTTTTCCTTCTCCTTCCAATAGGCTCTGGATCAGTATCACTATATGAAGTAGAAAGATGTCAACAACTGTCGGCTACAAGTAAGACCATGTTTTGTTTTTGAAATACAGACGTAGTAGCGAGCATAATGAAGCCTATCCTTATGTCCTCAACAAATTCATTTCTATCTATTGAGAGCAGATATCCACGAGGGTAAAAATACATCTATATTTTTCTTTTATTCCTCTATCTTGTTCTAGCTGGAATCCAAAAAGATAATGTTTTTACATTAAATATGTATTTTAAGTCATGTATCTATAAGGTTTGTAGAACATACACGATTTAGCAGTGCAGTGAGGCTTATTTGTAGGTCAAGAATATAAAATATTTTATATGACATTCATTTTAATCAGTTCACATTATACATTTAAGTGTGTCCATAAAAGAGCTCCTTACAATATGCCCCAAAACTGTAATGTTAGCAGTGATTGTAAATCTGTCACATGCCCTTCTGCTACTTCAGCTAAGATTTAAAAAAAAAAAAAAAAATTTTAAAGCACAAATCTGTTAAATAATGTTCTGTTTATTTAGTATCATATTAGTATCATAAAATGTAAGTTTCTCCTCAGAGACAGGACATGAAATGGGGTAGGGCTAAAAGAAAGATGATATGCTATTGTACTGGAATTGGAGGTGTCAATATGTACTCATGGTTTTATAGATAGATACAGAAATAGATACAGGTATGTATTTGTATATATATATTTACTCATATGCATATTCATGCATATATTTGTAGGTGCATTTGTGTAAGTATAGGTCCAAACATGTGTGGATATATGCCCTACCTCTATCAACGAAAGGGCATAGAAACAATGGTACCTTGTAGCAATGAGCACAGTTAGTGCACAGATCTTGGTGTATAAATAATATTCCCTCTTAAAAGGAATCAGTGCTCTTTGGAAAAATAGCAGATTCCAAGGTTGGAACAGGAGAATTCCAAAATGATTCTGGAATATCTTGTGCCAGAAAGAAAAGAAATTCTCACTTAATGATGGAAAGTATCAAATCTCATACGATTTGAGCATCAAAATAAAAAATATTAGTGATGGAATAGAACTTATTGAATAAAGTAGAAATTCATTGTTCCATGTGGATAGTAAATAAAAAAACAACAAATAAATGAGATCTAATGGAGAGCTGTTATTAAAATTTAATGGCAACTAATAAATGTGAAAGGAATGATGAATTTAGGAAAAAACACAATTTTGCAACCATGATAGTCATAATTGATTTAGTTGTGAATCACCAATGTTTCCTAAACTAGCGGGATCCTAAATGTCTAGTGTAAGACTGGGATATTTATATTTTCCCAAGTACTTTCTTATTAGTTAAAAGGGGAGAAAATAAATTCATAGTG